GTGGCCGAAAAACGTGATTCGCTTTAGACTGTAGCGGCAATACGGCTTCAACGATTTCAATTAAACTTTGCTTAAGTCTTCCCCTTGAAACCTTTATAATTTATGTATATAACATACTTTCCCGAAAACAAGCATGCATACATTTTTATGATGAATTCAGTATTCTATTTGCGAATAACTCAAAAAATACACATTTTTACTGATCATACCCATATTTATTTGAAAGACTTCTGAATTCCCTTCAAAATAAAAAAAAATCATCGAAATCGAACTATTTGTTGCCAAGATACATCATTGTAAACATTTAGTACTTTTTCTTTCCCTTCCAAATTCCATTTCTTTTTTTGATAAATCGAAAACTTTTCATTTATTGAGGTAATTGGGTCTATTATTTGAAGAGATGATATCATGTAATGTTAGTGGAATGATACCTCATAAATTTGATTTAAAAATATATTCTATAGTTATACTCTTTGTTAACTTAAATACTGCACAAGCAGTAGTTAATGGCACACGAATAAGAGTGAAGTACTAACGGGCGCTACTTTAAATTAAAGAATTTTAATTCCAAGAATTAATTTAACATTTTCTGACACTATACCTACATTCGACTTTCAAAGAACAACGTTCCAATTAATAGCTGCATTTGCTATGACCATAATCAAATCACAGGATAAAAGTTTTAGAAAAATGTATATATTATTGTGACGTCCAGTAATTTCGCATGGACAATTAAATGTGGCAGCAATTAGAGCACGTTTATTTTAAATATTGAAATTTATATTTTCAATGGCAATGGGTAGGGCTATGCACTAAACAATTACAGAATATTTAAAAAGAATATTATTTACATAGAAGTTCTGAATAAAAATGCATTTAAATTTATATTTATATTACCTTACTGACAGATTCTTCAAAGTCAATCATAACAATGCTTTTTCATCTCTTTTTTCTCAGTTTGCTGGTGTTCCTCAAGGTAGTATCCTAGGTCCTATCCTTTATACAGTTTATACAGCTGACATCCCAACCCATTCCAACACTGTCATCACCACCTATGCCGATGACACATGTATCCTATCAGTCAATAAGGATCCATCTATTGCATCCCAAACTCTTCAATCACACATCAGAAATCTTGGAAAATGGTGTCAAAACTGGAGGATTAAAATAAACTCCAATAAATCCCATCAAATTACCTTTACTCTTCGTCGTAAACCTATGACTTCCTGTCCTACAGTATCCTATATATGGGGTCAATATATATATATATATATATGGGTCAATACCCCACTTATCCCTGTTGACCAAATCCGATACCTAGGACTCCACCTTGACAAACGACTCACTTGGAACCCCCATACCAGACTGAAACGACTAGAAACCGCCCGACGTTTTCGACTACTCCAGCACTTACTAGACAAACGCTCTAAACTGCCAACTATTTACAAAAGACTCATATATATTACTATAATAAGGCCTATTTGGACTTACGGGATCGAGCTTTGGGGCTCTACTAAACCATCGAATTCCTCTCGTATCCAACCCCTACAATCCAAAATCCTTCGTAAAATCCTTAATGCTCCCTACTTTGTCACAAATAAAATCATCCATAATGACCTTAATGTACCATATGTTTCCGATTTAGCTCAATCCAGATACCTGTCCTTTCATAATAAACTTCTGAACCATCCGAACACTCTCGTTTCCAACCTTGCTTCCTCTTCTATTCCTGATAACCCTCCGAGGCGTCTAAAAAGAAGATGGCCTCGGGACTTTTTAATATAGAAATATAATTGGAGTGCTACCAATGGGTAGTTTCTCCTCATGTTGTACATGTCATATTACTTGTTCATATTTACCTGTTGTATTTATTATTAATTAGAGTTGTAAATTCTGTTAATAAAAAAAAAAAAATTATATTTTTACTTGCTTAATCATAACATTAATTTGTTGTGATAAAATAACACACATAAATTAAAATGAAAATTAAATATTTTTGAATGAGTATATTTTGTATTACTTATAAATAATTTTAAATGATTTAAGCTCGATTTTTAATTGAAATTGAAATTTCGTTTGTATTAATAAATGAGGATTTTTGAATCGTGATTTACTCTTTATTTATTTACTTTATTTTTTATTTAATTATATCTTTTCCTCAAATATGTAATGGCTATGGTCGAATTTCGACCACTGGGCGAACACTAGTATTGATAAATCTTCAATATTATTAAAAAAGTTTTAATAAAAAAAAAATTAAAGCCAGTTTGATTGGAGTTAATTTATATAATTAATTAATGCAATGAAGGCTTACAGGGTCAATATATTGACCGTGTAAAAGCCCCCTTAGCATTACTTAATGTCATTTAGCCTTTCCAGTGAATCTTATTCCAACAGGTATTGACCCGGAACCGCCATTGTCCCAAAGAACAATACTATTGTTGGATTCCTTATAATTAATTAATGTCTAGACATTATACAATAAGGTTCTCCTACTGGAGGTGTCATTGCTCTTCCAGCTGATTATTCCTATCACCTACGGATAATTTCCAGACGCCATTCATAAAATCACCATGGATATATTACAAGTTGCCGAACAGCTGTTTCTTATATACAGTGAAAATTGATTCATCATGTAGAAAAATAGAAAAAATACTTCAATGGTTACAGTAAATAAATAAAACTAGAAACTCTTCAACAGTTTTAATTTATTATTTATTAATTTAACATAAAGTAATTTTAAATATGTGCAAACTCAATAAATTTAAAATACCGGTTAGAATCCTCTGCCATATCATTAAGTACCCATAAATGGCATAATAAGGTTATAAAATAATAACGTTTTAGTACATTATTTTTATTGTATTAACGAAAAAATATTAATACAATAACTTAATTAAACAAAACTATTTTATAATTATGGAATTTATGAGTACTGAATGATGTGGCATTAAAAGTTACAAGAAAAGACATTACTTGTTGATGACCAATTCCATTAAAAGAAGTGGATAACAGGAAAAATAAAATTATAAGCACTTTTTTTCGAATTTCAAAACATTTTTTTTTTTTTATCGATGTCTATTTAAGTTTTTTTTTTTTATTGAAATTTACAACTGTATTAAATGATAAATACAACAAGTAAATATGGAACAAGTCAAATGACATGTACAAAATGAAGAGAAACTACTCATTGGTTGCACTCCAATTATATTTCTACATTAGGAGGTCCCGAGGCCATCTTATTTTCAGACGCCTCGGAGGGTTTTCAGGAATAGAAGAGGAAACAAGGTTGCAAAAAAGAGGGTTCAGATGGTTCAGAAGTTTATTATGAAAGGACAGGTATCTGGATTGAGCTAAATCGGAAACATTAAGGTCGTTATGGATGATTTTATTTGTGACAAAGTAGGGAGCATTGAGGATTTGACGAGGGCTTTTGGATTGTAAGGATTGGATACGAGAGGAATTTGATGGTTTAGTGGAGCCCCAAAGCTCGATCCCATAAGTCCAAATAGGCCTTATTATAGTAATATATATGAGTCTTTGGTAAATAGTTGGAAGTTTAAAGCGTTCGTCTATTAAGTGCTGCATCAGTCAAAAACGTCGGGCGGTTTCTAGTCGTTTCAGTCTAGTATGAGGATTCCAAGTGAGTCGTTTGTCTAGGTGGAGTCCTAGGTACCGGATTTGTTCAATAGGTATAATTGGGCTATTGTTGAAGGATACTGTAGGATATTAAGTTATAGGTGTACGAGGAAGAGTAAAAGTAATTTGATGGGATTTATTTTAATTTATTTTTAATTCTCCAGTTTTGACACCATCTTTCAAGACTTGTGATGTGTGATTGAATAGTTTGGGATGCAATAGATGGATCGTTATTAACTGATAGGATACACATGTCATCAGCATAGGTGGTGATGACAGTGTTAGATTGGGTTGGGATGTGAGGTGTATAAACTGTGTAAAGGATAGGACCTAGGATACTACCTTGGGGAACACCGGCAGACTGAGTAAAAAGATATGAATAAGCATTGATATGATTTACTTTGAATTTAAGTTGTCAAGTTTATAAAAATATGTTATCTATAAAAGCTGTAGTAAAATGTGTGTGCTTTAATATTCTATTTAATAATTTGAATTAACTCACCAATAAAAAAAGATATCTAGTTAATTTTTTTGTTTTTACTCATGTTTTTTGGGAAATTTCAAAACCCATTTTCAATGTTAGATATTCGATTTCTGTTGTGTTTAGATAAAAATGTTTTTTTTTTTATTTATTCATGAAATTTACAACTGTATAAATTTAAAAATACATTCAGTAAATGAGCACACAGTAATGATACAATCACATGAAAACTCTTATTGAAAAACTACGCATTAGTAGCCCTTTAATAATATATTTATATAAGTAGATCATGAGGCCATCTTCTTTTCAGACGCCTTGGAGTATTATCAGGTATCGAAGAGGAAGCAAGGTTTGAAACGAGAGGATTCGGATGGTTTTGAAGTTTTTATAGAAGGATAGGTATCTGGATTGGGCTAAATGGGAAACGAAAAAAAAGGCTATGTTAGATAATTTTAAGCTATTTAAGATTAAATATAGCCATTTCTAAACTATCTCGCTTTAAAAAAAATATATTAAGTGCAAACCAAAAAATTTAGAAATTTCGACCCACAAAGCTTTCAAGGGCGGAAACTTGGAACCTAACAATATGAAAAAGAAATTTGAATTACCTTATCTTTTGCAAGGCAGACCGATTGTTTTCGCTAATTTGACTGGGAAAATGATGTTCCTTAGGAATCTGACTTGGTACTGATATTTTTAAAATTTATTTTGTCCCGTTGAGACGAAGACCGCACCATTATGAAATTTTGAAACCTTAAAATTTAAAAAAAATGATTCGAACATTCTATAATACATGAAATTTCCTTTCTATTAACACCTCCTTCTTCTAAGAAATTGGTCATAATCATAATCCACCATTACGATTACAGTGATTTTGATTATGCGATTACACGATTATAATTGTAATCAGATTTCCGATTACGATTGTAATCAGGTAATCGTGTCACATTTTTGCTATGTTTCTAATCCTATTGAATCAACTATAAAATATTTGGGGTCTTTAAGTTTTATTTTCATTTGTAATAATGTAATCATTGATTCCGATTTTGCTCAACTCTAGTCAAAATCTATCTCTCCTGAAAGCCGGAAAAGGAATTATAGTCGGAAATAATGATATACTAGTAGGTGCGTGGGAAAATTCGTACAGCATATAGTTATTAAATGCCAAATTAATAAGAAAAGAAAATAATGCAGCGTGTCAAAAGATAAAAAAATCAATTGTTACTTTATCGATAAATATAATCGACAAAGGAAACAAAAATTAATTAAATCGTCATTAATATTTGGAACCAACATGTTTACAAATTTCAATAAGCTATATCCTTGCTGAAAATTGTCCGATTTTGATGATTTTTTTTTCTTTTTGCAGGAAATTTAGTAACATTTTATATAATCATATGCATAACCGTAGAGAAAAGTGTATAATTTTTCAGATATTCGCAAATAAAGTTTCATTTCTTTCATAACTTGTTTGCCTGAATTTTCGGGGTAATTGGACTATTTTGCCCGCCTGAAGGAGAAGGAAGCCTTCGAAATTGGTGGCTCAATCTTGAGATTTGATGAAGAATTAACAATGATATGGCTTTCCCATAAAAAACACCATAAATAAATAATATAAACTCCTCCTCTCTCGATCATAGAGACCTCAAGTCGGCGAAATGAGACATATATTTTATGACCGTACTACAATTAATGTAAGGCTGTGTGGATGCGTAGTTTCGAAGGAATCCGGATCTTGCTGTACACATCAAAATTTTCAAGGTCCAATTTGTCCTGCATCGATCTACAGACCTACCACCGTTCCAGTATTGAAGCCTAGCAAAATGTTTGTATCGACTTTATTTATTTTAGAAAGAAAAACAAAAGTGGAGAATACGATTCGCTAACCTCCCGTGAAATTCTGAATCCAAAGGTACCACATTCATGGTATTTGAGCATGAAAGGAGCTTATATTTGGTACAAAAACGATTTAGAGCCTTACTGTAGTGATATGTGTGGGGATGGTAGATATTAGTACATATACTAATAGCACAAATACAAAAATTATACTAATTTTTTCTAAATAATGCAACATAAACTGAATATTAATTAACTTGGCTTGGAATTAATTTGTGAATTCTAAGTTTCTAAACTAAAAACATTTATTTAAATAATATTTCTGAGGTTTTTCCTACAAAATCAAGCCATCTAACTGCGCCAACAGGAAAAATAACACTTCATTATTTATGAATTAATGCATGTTTTTATTTAGCTTTTCTTTTTTTTTTTTTTTTTTTGTTGGACTCAAATAGATGAAGTGACATTGAAATCTTCAGCGTTGTATAAGAAGATAAGACTGGTAGACGGTTGTGGTTTAAAACCGCAGTGATAAATATGGCGGATAAACATGTGAAATTTGTTTGAGGAAACAATAAAATATATATATATATATATATATATATATATATATATATATATATATATATAACAATAATATATATATATATATATATATATATATATATATATATATATATATATATTTTATTTTATTTGAGTTCTACCAATGGGTAGTTTCTCTTCATGTTGTACATGTCATGTTACCAATGTCAGATTTATTTATTGTATTTTCTATGTAATACAGTTGTTAATTGCATTAAAATAATAATAATAATAAAAAAAAAAAATTTATTTTTTTATTGGAACAATAATAATACAATCTGCCACAATCAAGATCATGGGGTATTAAGGCTCTATATGCACATTCATACTATTATATACAAATTTAGAAAAAAATGAATAAAAAGAAAACATGTAAGTATAAAATCTGGTGCGGTGTACGCATCACACAATTTTCACTTACCACTCTTCTTAGCAGAAATGAGTATTTTCAGACAAAGAGTAAGTGTACCTTAATTAAGGTATCTTAAATATGGATATAAATACCTTAAATATAGCGTAAGATTAAAGTATCTTTAATTCTTTTTATTTGAAAAAATCAATCATTTCACATCAATCTTTGATACAAAAAATAATTAAATATAAAATATGAAAGAATTTGATAATAAACTAAAGGAGATATAAGAGATCGTAACGGATAATAGTTGTAATTTAAGAACCAAAGGAATACGAGCCCGTACGAGTACATACGTAACACGAGCTTAATATAATACTTTAACAATATTATTTACATATACATATGCGATTTTCATAAATGCTATCGTTGGTATTATTTAATATTTAATTGTATAGAATACAACGATATAAAAATTAAAATTTGTCTATATAAGGGTATATAAACATATAAAAATACCCACAATGAAATGTAAATAAAGATAGCACCTATAATTTTTACATTCACTTCCACTTCGTCTGAAAATACTTATTTCTGCTAAGAAGAGGGTGGTAAGTGAAAGTCGTATGATGCGCGCACCAGATTTTTTTTTTCCACTTTTTCTTTCACACAAGTATAATGAAATAGTATCTTAAACAGTGTCATTGCCTTCAATCCGTGGATTTCAAATACTTTTTCAAATTAAAAAAAAAATGTTAAAAGTTTACATTTAGTAAGAAAATATTATACGTATACCTTCTACTATTTCCGGATATTCATTTTCCTTTTTTTCTTCCATGTTAAATTATTAAATTCTTACAAAAGTTACATTTTTTGTAACTCTTAATAATGGGAGATGATTAATAATTATTTAAAATAAACTATATTAAAGGCACTTTTCCGAAAGGCGTATATGAAAATTGGGCATTTAAGCCCTGTAAAGTGACATCAATGAGGATAAGACCTGATTAATATTAAAGATTACTTAATTATACAATGATACACCGAGTTTAATCAAAATCGTTGGAGCCGTTTTTTTGAGTAAATTGTAAAAAATTTGTTTCAGCGTTGATATAAAGTGGCACTTTCGGTAAGCCGATTTTAAGGAAAATGTTGCTGTCACATCTAAGGCATATACCTATCTTAAATACGTAATATCAGTTTCGTACAACTTTTCGTTTTTGAGCTAGACTGTTAACACACACACACACACCGTTTTGTGGGACTTGGTTATTTGGACTCAGGAAACCTCAAAACATGTATTTCCGTTGAAAACTCAGATTCGAAAATTTTCACGATCGCAATAATATTTCATATATAGTTAGTGAAAGTAAAAGAGAGTGTTTAAAAAACAAAAAGTATTTTGTTTTTTTAGCAGCATTTGAGATGAAATTTTTATTTTTGTATTTCCAGATATTTTTAATTATTTCGGACCTTTAACGTTTATTTTAAAAAAGAAAATATTTAAAAATTCTGTTGACAAATGGTCGATCTAAAAAATTATTTTAATCTCAGCTACTAAAACAAAGGAGGGGGTAGTGTAGCTCAGTGGTAGGATACTGAGCTTCCAATGCTAAAGGTCCCAGGATCGAATCCCGGCTCATGACAGAAAAATTATTTATTCTGTTTCATTGGTCGTGGGGCGACCCTCCTGGGGCATGCCGATCCTCTATAAAGTGGGTACGCTTAATTAAAATAATTAATTAAGGGAAAAAACTTGGCGGTTGAGCATGATCTCGGTCAAATCACCTCCTTGCACAACCGTAGACCAAGAAACAGTGCTTTCCCTAAATAGTACTGAACCCAAGACCCTTCATGGGTTGAAGTGGGACAGGTTTTTTTTATCATATCAGAATCATAGTCCTTGGTCCGTACTGATTAATTTGCCTAGAGTCCTAATGTGTAGTGATGTAATAGAAACCCGACCACTACATCAAGTTTAAATATTCATAGCTATCATTTTCCCTATCAATTTAACAAAACGTGTAAGTAGATATGGAAGTATGTTATCTAGGGTGTTCATAAGTTTTTAGCACCTAACTAAATATACAAAGTTTGCCGACCCCCAGATTGAAAACGCCTTAATTCCGGAAATATTCGTAAATAAAATATTTGTATGTTACGATGAGATGAAGCAATTTCACGAAGCTTCAGGCGGATGTTAATAATTTTATAAAAATGGGTCTGTACCAAGCACTATGAATCTGATATGTTGTTTGTTTTAGTAGCTGAGAATAAAATAATTTTTTAGGTCGATCTTTTGTCAACAGAGTTTTAAATATTTCTTTTTTTAAAATACACGTTAAAGCTCCGAAATAATTAAAAATATATGGAAATACAAATATCAAAATAATGAACAGAAGGATAGTTGGGATGATCAGTCAAAAATAAATCTGAAAAAAATAATTAATAATATTTATTTTAACATTTGCCGACGTTTCGATCCGAAGTTCAGGCTTTCATCAGGGCTGAGAAAAGAACCTGATAACAATTGGTATGAGAAAAATAAACTATGTAGGTAAAAAAAAAAACTTAAAATAAAATGAAGTAGATAAGTGAACATTAAAGTAAAATAAGATTACCATTTTAGTACTTATGTTATCTTATTTTGATTATGTTTACTTCATTATTCCACACTTTGTAACCGTTATTATTATTTATTTCTTAGTTATTGTTACTGTCGTTATTCTACCTACTTTATTTAACTTTAATGTTCACTTATCTACTTCATTTTACTTTAAGTTTTTTTTTTTTTACCTACATTGTTCATGTTTCTCATACCAATTGTTAACTGGTTCTGTTCTCGGCCCTGATGAAGGCCAGAACATCGGGTCGAAACGTCGGCAAATGTTAAAATAAATATTATTATTTATTTTTGACTGATCCCCCTAACTATATTTCTCTTCATCATTCACTTCAACCATCAATCCACAATTAGAAATAAAAATAAAAATTTCATTGTAAATGCTGCTAAAAACACAAAATACTTTTTATATATTAAACACAAACAATATAACGTGCCGTTTACTTTATTTTCACTTACTATATATGAAATAGTATTGCGATCGTGAAAATTTTCGAATATGAGTTTTCATCGGAAATGCATGTTTTGAGGTCTTCTG